AGCCACTTTCTATCGTGGTACACCTGTGGGCTTGATCCCCCAGCCGTGCTGCCTGTGTTCATAGGCACAGACAAAGCTCGGCTTGGCCCCGCCCCCACTGCTGTCAGGCAAGCCTGTGAGAGTGAGACGTACTACTACAGACGGGCACGGTGCTGTATCAAGTGAGGCAAGTATCTGGGGGGGGGGGGGGGGGGGGTGAGGGGGCATACTGCTACCTAAACATTACCTTAAAGTGGTTGTAAAGGCTGAAGGTTTTTTACTTTCATGCATTCTGTGCATGAAGGTAAAAAACCTGTGTACAGCAGCTCCCCTAGCCCCCTCAATACTGATCAGAGCCTCATCGCGTTCCAGCGATGTGAATGACAGCTTCGGCTGTCCCTGGTCTTTGCCTCCTCATTGGCAGAAACAGCAAATGGGAACCATTGGCTCCCACTGCTGTCAATCACAGCCAATCAGGAGAGAGAGGGGTTGGGACAGAGCAGTGGCTCTGTGTGTGAATGGACACATGGAGCAGCGAGTGCCCCCATAGCAAGCACTAGACAGACAGGAGGAGCCAGGAGAGCCTGTGGGGGACCCAAGAAGAGGAGGATCCAGGCTGCTCTGTGCTAAACCACTGCACACAGTAGATAAGCATAGACATGTTATTTTACAAAAAAAAAAAATTAACCTTTAGAATTGCTTTAATTTAGAAAATATTTAGGCTTTACAAACACTTTAACCTCAACACAACTTTTGAAAATATAATTCCTTCTTAAAATGATACTAAAGCTAAAAAACACTTTATACTTTAATGCATTTCCTGCATTAAAGGAAAAAATGTTTTATATTTCTCTGTCCTCCTCCTTTCCTATGTGAAGAGGAAGAAAGGGGAGCAGAGATCAGTGCTGTGCACAGCTGCATCTCTTTTCCCCTCCCTTCCTCTTCACTCAAGGACTCGAACAGCAGCAGAAGCCATTGACTCCTGCTGCTGTCAATCAAATTCAGTGAGGAGGAAGTGGTGAGAGGGGCTAAGTTCTGCTGTGTGTGTCTATGGAGTGTGGCTCCATAAACACACAGCTCGGGAGCCAGAGGACACCCATAGCACACGCCTGATGCAGGGGTCTTGCGAGGCTCCAAAACATTGCTCTTGCTGTAACTATGTGATCGCTTAATAAAGCTTTGTACCCACATTGGTGTGCTGTTGACATTCTTCTCCTCTGACTGTTCTCAGTTCCAGCCAACGGTCGCTGCAGCACCTGCCTACACACACAGCCATCTCTAAATGCCAGAACGTGTGCTTTGGGATTGTGCATTCTAGTACTACCTTCATAGCAAACAGTTTGCTATGGGGACATACGAAGAAGAGGAGAATCCAAGATCACTGGCAGGGGACCCGAGAAGAGGAGGATCAGGGCCGCTCTGTGCAATATCATTGCACAGAGCAGGTGAGTATAACATGTTTGTTTTCAAACACTTAGAAAGGATAAGATCACCTTTGTAAAATAAATAAATGTACATCTTTTTGCAGGTAAAAATGTGCATTTATTATTTACAAGGAGTCCACAAAGCATTGCTCCCACGAACAGCAGATTGCGGGTGCGATGACAGGTTCCTGCAGACTGTCAGTGTATCTGTCTGCTCATACCTTGTAAGGGAAGAAGGCAATTACTGAATGACAAGAAACATCAATGAACTACCTACAGCACTCATCAGCATCCTGGTAGTTCATTGAGAATTTCAAGCTGACAGCCACAAAAGCTGTCGATACTTGTAGTTCTCCCATTCACATAACTGATTTTTTTTTCTTTTTTTGTAAATTGTGACAGTGCGTGCGGGGAGAGGATTCCTGGCTTGCTGTCAGAATGGGGGATCAGGGGGCGCAGAGGCTGCTGCAACAGTAACATCTTATATGTTACACCCTGAATATGGGTGTAAAATGTTACAAAATGGTGAACATCCTTTAAAAAGTGGAACTTTAGTCATAAAAATTAACTCCTGCTAAATTACTTCAGGCTGGCCCCTTTTGCAGGTACAGCTATGTAAAACATCAAAAATAAGTGCCTATATGGTTTAAAATCCAGTAATACACTGTCTCATCCTGCTATACACATGCTCAGTTGATCTCTATTTTTAGGCACTGTGTTGAATTTGTAGAGGCCAATCTACTAGCAGCCTAAAGAATTACTGCTGTTCAGGAGCTCTGGGCTTCAGCAAAATGGAAGCCTCCAACAAGACGAAACAGGAGCAATGCTGCAGTCCATTTACAGAATACACTAATTTCCGTAGCATAATTATTAATGTGGAACATTTTTTTTAATCAATTTGCTATGGGTAAAGTTCCACTCTAAAGATGAAATTTAGGTATTCAAATTTTCACATAGTTACATTGGTCCAACTTGTAGAATGCACGTGTGTACCTGGAATATCCCCATGGAAGCTGGAATTCACTGTATTAGACAGTGCTACCACAGTGATCACTGCTAGCTTTTGAGTACCATACCAGGTGGCTGCCTTGCTGCATTGTGAATAAAGGAGGTCAAGCACTCAGCACTGGTACCATTCAGAGAACTCTTTGCATTCTCTCAATAAATGCACTGTTCTCTCACTAAATGAAGTGTAGTGCAGGGTATCTAACCAGAGATATCTTTGCATTCATTGTGAAAATGAAAAGTGGTCTCTGAATGGTGCCAATGTCAAGCGATCAATTGCTTGTGTTCATCAAGTAGCAGGGCAGCTGCTTGACATAGGACCTGGAAGCTAGCAGTGATCACTGTAGTAAACAACACAATCTAGAACCCCCCCCCCCCCCCCCCCCCCCCCCCAAATAAAAAACACCCACAAACACAGTGTACCACCCAAGCCTTTAACCCCTTTGTGAGAACAGACCAATCTGGTTTACAAATGATGAGATCTGCTGGCACAGTTCAGACAGGGTTATTTATGGTAAACATTACCCAGTTCCCTCTTTAACATAACGAAGTGGGATTTTTTTTTTTTATTAATTTTTGGGGTTTCTGAAGAGAGCAAATAAAAAGCAGAAATTCTTAAATATTGTTCAAAAAGGTATGCTATGTAAAGGGGCAACACACATATAAAAGTAGGCGGTTTCCCAATGTGACTGCAAAAGTGGTAACATACATTATAGTGAAATTCCAGGCACCACCTAACCGTAATAAAAAAAAAAAAAAAAAAAAAAAAAAAAAAAAAATGCTCCCTCACCAATCCTAACACCTAATCTGAGTAACCTATATAAGAAAGATCTGTATACTTACCCGTTTTCAGGCTGATCTGGTCTTGTCACATGAGAGAGCACGTCAACAACGGCTAGTAAAGCTTGGAGTGGTGACATCACCCATAGGCTTCAATGGCCCATCTGTTGCTGGCTCTCCCTCCTCTTCTCTAAAGTGGCCTGAAAATAAGTATACAGATCTATAGGTTAGTTGGGACAGATGTTAGGAATGGGGAGGGAGCATTTTTATAAAGTTTGGAGGTGCCTTGAATTCTGCTTTTTGCCAGTTACAGGATTTATTCACCCTTGCCAAACAGCAGCCAGGTCTCTGACTTACCTGTTGTATATTTGTGTTAAGTGATATTAAAGGCATATTTTTTTCTTACCTGCTCTGTATAATGGTTTTGCACAAAGCAGCCCCAATCCTCCTCTTCTCGGGTCCCTCGCAGGTGCTCCTGGTCTTTCCCTCCTGCCTAGTGCCCCTTAGCAAGCAGCTTGCTATGGGGGCACTCGAGCAGGCTTGCTCCTGAGCCGCTGCTCTGTCTGTCCATTCAGATACAGAGCGTGGCTCGGCCCCACCCCCCTCTCCACATTGGCTCACTGGCTGTAATTGACAATAGCGGAAGCCAATTGCTCCCGCTGTTGTAGCTAATTTGGAGGGAGAGACCCCAAAGAGCCACTGCTCTCATGAACATTGCTGGATCAGGATAGGGATCATTGGGGGGGGGGGGGGGGGCTGCTGCACACAGTTTTTTACCTTCATGCATATAATGCATGAAGGTAAAAAACCTTGAGTCTTTACAACCACTTTAAAGCAACACAGCTTGGTCTAGGTCTCACTGCCCCAGCCTGTGACTGGTTAGTGAAGGTACAGCAGTATTATGATCAGGTCTCCTCTTATCAGCAGGCTGCTACATTGGCTTGTCTTATGGGGCTTTCCCCTTTTCTCCCAGTCCAGCTATACAGGGGATTACGGGAGGCTGATACAAACAGAGGTAGAGGTACTATTCACAAAACAAATTTAAGGATTTTTTAATGAAAAAAAAAAAAAAAAAAAAAATTATATATATATATATATATATATATATATATATATATATATATATATAATATATATATATATATATATATAATATATATAAAAAAATAAAACCTGTTTTTTATAGCTTTACTTTAAAAACTAAAACAAGCCGATGAAGTGTAATAAAAACTTTATTCTATGTTGAAACTTCAAAACTTGCATTAAAGATGATCAAACCTCCCAATTATCCAAGTAAACATTTGCAGAGGGTACTGAGCAAACAAAAATATGTATATGCTATGTCTGTATTTTTATGCCCAGTGCCTCTATGTACTTGCATTACAGAACATCCTCCTAGCAGAGCATGATGGAAGACGTATTCCATGGATAAACTGAAGCGTATGCACGGTCACATGGCTCCACAATCTGTATAAAACACTGATACCTATGATTGTAGACTTGCACATCAAATCTTAGAATGCTCATAAACCAATATTATTTTCCTGTATTATCCACAGCCATTTCCAACATAAACATAAATTCAATGGATTAAAAGAGCTCACCAGTCCTGGAAAAATGCCCACTGCTAAGCTGTAATCCAATAATAGTCATTACTCTAAGTCACACAGTACACTGAACTTTTGAGAAGAAAGTTCAGATTCTTAGCTTCCAAGCTCAGTCATTTCACTACACCTCTGCTGCCATCCTCTGGTCAGAATAGGCATTGTACCGTGCAGCTCTAAGTCCATCTCAGGTGTCCTTTCAGTGACTTTAGATGAGTTTCACAGCTCCTGAGGCCACAAGAGGTGCTATTGTACGATATCGAATAAGATGCTGAGATCCGACCTCCATGTCTATAGCGTATTCCCTGTGGGAACAGACAATTTTAAGTTAAAAAAAAAAAAAAAAAAAAAAGTCATATCACCAACAATTTTACTTCAACAACTACCCTTTATTGGTAATGTTTTTCTTATTAACTATGCTGGTGTTGCTAGTTGCATGCTGTGCTAATCCTCTTTTTTAAATGCTTTCTGGCTAACTAAAATAATGAAAATGCAGACCAGGAGATCTGCATTAAAAAGTGTTATAAAATCTTCCATACACAAATTAAAATGGAAAAGCATATACTATATTGATGCTCGTTTTCAGTCCTTTTTTGTGCGTAACCAGTTTTCAGCAAAATTTTCTTTTGCTGGTTCAGTGTAATTAATTTTTTACTATAATAGCAACTATGTTGCCTTGCAGGGGCTTCCTGGAGACCAATCATAACTACCCTGACTAGCTTTCCCTGGCAGTGGTTCTTCTTATATGTGTGCTTGGGTGACATGCTTATGGCACGCATACACATTGTTGGCGGGGTCCTTCTGTGCCTACTTGGGTGTCATACTTAGGGCGAGCCTGGGCACTGTGGATGGAAATCTGATCATTGTGCCCTTTTGAGTGCGGTGCTTAGGGTGCGCACGAGCATTGTGGCTGCTTGGGTAGTCTTAGGACATGCATGTGCTTTGTGGTCAGTATGCAAGGAATCAAGGGGCGTGTATTCTCAATGCATGTGATCATATAAATTTGCACAGTGAGCTGTCCCCAACCAGAACTTCAAGTAAAGTGCAGCAGAGAGGGACAGAACTCTAAACTCAATAGTGTGCATCAGAAAGAGACAAAGATGTTACCATTTTGGTAGCAAATGAGGGAAAAGACATTTGTTTTTCATCTACTTGCATAGAGCAAGAGGCAAAACTTTTTTTCCAGGTCAGTAGCTCAAAATATACTCTGAACAGCTGCTCTATTGTTTTGTCAAAATTGTTATGTGTGTAAGTTTAGAACACAATGAAACTGGCTTGAATTCACATGATTTCAAAATCGCATGTCAGTCTGATTTCAGGTGCGACTTGGAAGACATCTGTGCAACTTCATGATGTCTATACATGTTGTGCCTGAACTTGCAAAAGTAGTGCATGAAGTACTTTCAAAATTGGCGTGCATCCGACGGAGTCAGAATCGCACTGGTATGACTGCTTCCATTGCAGACAATAGGGTGAAACTTATCATCTGATTTGAAACCAATCAGTTCCCAAGACAAATTCGCCCCGGTATGACCGGGGACTGAATCTGAGCAATTTAGTGTAAATATTATAGATTTTTAAAAAGCTTGTTTTCTAGGCAATTTATGAATTCCACCTGTACACACGATCATCCATATTTGTTAATTATAATATACAGGTGTGCTTCATGCTTTGAAGGGCTGCTTGGACTGTGTTACACTCTCTCTCTCTCTCATAGTGAACTGTGTGCCAAGATCAGTATTGCACATAATGCAAATTGGGTCCCAAGTGCACGGGACTTCTGCAGATGACTGCCACTCCATTTAGTTCTAGACAAGCTACTAATATAAAAGACTACTGCTCCTTTGAAGAAAGGTGCTACTCACTCCCCCAGGAATCTTCATGACCAGCTGAGTAGAGGTGTAACAAATGGTATACAGAGGGTTGGCTGTGTGACACTTGAACTGTAGGTGAATGTGTTTGAGGGGTTATAGACTCAAAGGGGCTGGTATTTAATTTTCTAGCAGTGTAACTGCAGCACTGACCACAGACACGTACACAGGTGTATGCCAGTTTACACAGTTCAGTCCCCACCTTTGCTCATCTGTCTCTGGCTCCACCAGGATGTTCTGTTGTTCCTCTTTCACCCGCAGAAACACAAACGAGTCCAGGTTTGGTTTGGGCACTACAAAAAGATAGCCGGAGGACACATTGTACACAAATCAAGATGCTTTATTTTTATTTATTACAGGTACTTACATAGCGCCGTCAATTTATGCAGTGCTTGAAGAGAGTACATCCACCTCCATCCCTAACCCTCAAGGAGTGTACAATGTAAGGTCCCTAACTCTTTTGATCGCCTTCCCATATTTCCAGGAGCCAGTTGCTTACCACATTTCACCAAGTCCAGTGTCTGTAAGTTTGGGGGCATGTGACGCAGAGCTACGTTCTTCAGTAAAGCCTCAGTGTTCGCCATATACCTGCAGGAACAAGACACAGATTAGTTCCATGGCTTTCAACATTTTTGAGGTTGTAATAAAATTAGTGCAGAATTACCATCAGCTTGAGCCTTGATTCTGTATCACTGGAAATTTTTGGTATGCCCATCAACTGCTGAGTGGGCTATGGAAAATATGACTGTACGCTTACAGGATAGATACAAGACCCATTTTCAGATCTGGAGCCCCTTGCTTTTGTATACAAGCTTCCATAATTTTTAATCCTATTAATAATGTGGCCCTTATAACAATGGTCGCCAGTAAATCCCATCTTGATCACCTTGCACCAGTCACATGCCCAGTGTGACACCCTACCATTATTTGCTTTCTTTCCTCTGGCCCTATGCTCTCTCTCTCTTTTTTCCAACTTTCCCTCTACACATATCACATGGGCATCCAGTGAAATTATATATTTTTCATGGACAATATATTTGGTTTCCTATTCTTTCTCCATTATGAACCACTGAATCCTGGGCCTGACCATTTCTTTTTCAATATTGACATATGTTGATATTGTTGTAAGATGCACTTTCCCTTCTTTATGGTCTTCCCTGTAACTAAGTGACCTGCCTGAGTTTTGTATCTCTTTATACTTAGGTATGACGCTGCATCTCTTCTGCACTTAACCATTTGCCAACCCGCCCACAGCAATTTTTCTACGGGGGCAGGGCAGCATGTGCAGGCACCAATACGTACCTGTATGTTGGCACTTTCTTCCGTATTGTGGGCAAAAGACCCCCCCCCCATCCCAGACTCCTGCTGTAATTGGACACAGTGGGATATTCTTAGCAGATTTCAGCCAATGATTCACTGCTGAGACCTGCTGATCGGTTGTGTCCAATCGCAGTCTACAGCCTTGTGTTGACAATCCAGCAAAAAAAGGTCAGCAGCTACAAATACTGTAGCTGCTGACTTTTAAAAAAAAAAGGACACTTACCTGTGCAGGTATCCAGCACCATGCATGAAAAGTACTGTGTTTCGTGAATGGTCCCGCTGCCTTCTGGGACTTTTGACATGTTGCCTAGGTGATCTGAGCAGTTGTGGGAGCGTGTACCTATCAAAACCAAGTACCTGCTCCCCCACAAAATTAGGTGTCCAAAAGTAATAGAGGAGGGGGAGAGGAGGGTGGAAAAGCAGAACTTTCCCTTTTGGGTGAAGCTCCACTTTAAACAAAGGCTACTCAAAAACGAAAAAACTCTTACCAGATTTACTCAAAATGACACAAAGTTTTGGATGGAGTGAGACTTTAAAAAGGCATAATCCAGGTTTTATGTCATGTTTCCACATCATCCAGGCTGGAGATTTACCAACAATGACTACAAGTTCCATTTACCACCTTGGGAAACAGGATTTGTAAAGAGCACACCAGCAATTCCACCCCCATTGTCACTCCGTGGTTTAGGGGCATTTCCTCTAGCCAGGTCTGTACCTCTGTACAGACCTGAGGCTGGAGTCTGTGCATTGCACGCGTGATGCACAAGTGTGGTTGCAATACACTGCAGGCCCCCATGCAATAATTTAGTAAGCTTTTTTTATGCTATCAATGTTAGTATTAAAACGATGGACTATGACTTTATTACAAAATACAGAATTTATAACATGACAAATGTTGCTACATACACCACATTGCCAAAAGTATGAGGAAACTTGCCTTTACACGCACATGAACTTTAATGGCATCACAGTCTTAGTCAGTAGGGTTCAATAAAGGTCAGGACTCTGTGCAGGCCAGTCAAGTTCCTCCACCCCAAACTTGCTCATCCATGTCTTTATGGACCTTGCTTTGTGCACTGGTGTGCAGTCATGTTGGAACAGGAAGGGGCCCAATGCAGTCAGGCAAGTACCGTTCTGACAACAGCCAAACCCAGACACGTCCGTTGGATTTCCAGACAGAGAAGCGTGATTGGTTACTCCAGAGAACACGTCTCCACTGCTCTAGAGTCCAGTGGTGGCATGCTTTACACCACTGCATCCAACACTTTGCATTGCATTTGGTTAGCCATGGATGCAGCTGCTCAGCCATGGAAATCCATTCCATAAAGCTCTCAACGCACGGTTATGCTAATCTGAAGGTCACATGAAGTTTGGATGTCTTTAGCTATTGACTCTGCAGACAGTTGGTGACTTCTGCACACTGTGCACTGACCCCACCCTGTCATTTTATGTGGCCTACCACTTCATGGCTGAGTTGCTATTGTTCCCAGTGGCTTCCACTAACAGATGAGTAGCAAGGAAATTTCACAGATGGATTTATTGCACAGGTGGCAACCTATCATGGTACCAAGCTCCTGAAAGTGACCCATTCTTTCACAAATGTTTGTAGAAGCAGTCTGCATGCCTAGGTGCTTGATTTTATACACCTGTAGCCATGGAGGTGATTGAACACCTGAATCCAATGATTTGGAGGTGTGTCCCAATACTTTTGGCAATATAGTGTATGTTACAATATAATCTATCAGCATGCTTCCAGGTTGAGCATAAATATGGATTTTACAGTGAAACAGACACCTTCTGTAGGCTCTTCGCAGACACATTGGAAAGGCAGACAGAATACAAAAGCATCTATTCATCTGATTTGGTGGACTTTGGAGCTCACAGTCATTAAAGCTGTTTTAATAGAACATAATTTTAATTGACAAATATGGCCTTTCTATATTCAGTCTTATGGTATTTGACAGTCTCTCCTATCAGATACAGTATATGACTGCCAGGTAACCAATTATAGAAAGATTACTCACTCTTTTGCAAAAGCAAACTCCTCTGGGGACAGATGTGGAGGCTCTCCTTCCCCACGAGACTTCTCCTTCTCCAGAACATGCGGGAAAAATTTCTCTATCTGAGAACAGACAGTACATCAAATAGGATTTAAAACAACTATTTTAATAGTGCATCAACTTTTTTTTTTTGGTCTTAAGCTGGCCATAGGCTATTCAAATCTTGGCCGGTTCAGCAGGGACCTGCCGAGATTCAAACCATGTATGGGCAAGGCTAAATACACCCAAGTTGATGAACTTGGGTACAATCAGCCTGCCGAATTTTAAATGCGATTATTGCTAGCGGCTGTTATAGCCACTAGTAATAATCACTTGGTTCTCCAAGCGGGGACAGCTTTCCCCACCCCCACCGGGAGAACACAATGGTTCCACAGGAGGGATTCCCCTGTCAATACAGTCCGTGTTGATGGGGGGGTCTGTGGTTGCAGGAAAGAAATTTGCTCCGTCTATGGCCAGCCTTACACACAATCAGAAAATCGTACAAAAAAAAAAAATACAGATTTCGAAGTGATTGTACGATAATCTGACTGTTAGTACACAGTTTTCGTCCAAAATTATTAGAAGGGACAAGCATGAAAATTTTTCTCAAACGATACTAGATCGTACGATTTTTAATTAATTAGTACAGTTTTTGACTGAAAATACAATACATTACATCACTTCCGAATTTTTATTCTGTTTTGTAACTTTAGTAACCTCTTCACTTTCAATATGAGACTAGCATGAAAAAAAAAAAAAAAAAAAAAAAAAAAAAAAAGGACGACGATAATTCATCCGATATTCTCATCGTGTGTACAGGGCTTTAGAGAGCACAGAAAAATTTCAGCCTGTCCGTTTTTGTTTTTTTTTTTTTCACCCTTTCTTATTGAGAAGAATTATTTTTAGCACCATCAGTTTTCACATCGCTTTACAATATAAAAAAGAATTTCTGACTTCAGTGATTTTGGTTCTTACTTGGGGACCATGCAGCAAGTGAAGTCAGGGATCACCATTTTCTTCACTTACTACCCCAGAGACAAAGCAGGAAGTGAAGAAAAATTCCTTCTGAGATGTCACCAAGGACAGTTGTCCTTACGGAAAGATATCCCAATGATTTGTATTCTAGCGACAACATTTCCCATCTCTTTCAACCCCAGTGACAATGGTCAACAGGAGACATATTGAATGTGTATTTCCTCAGCAGTGACACAGACTGCGATAAAACTTGACAGAGGTTCTAACCCCCCTAACTACTCTACTGAAAAATGGATGAACTACACATATACCTGATCAACACAAATTAAAGTAATATTGGAGAACTGCTACCAGAATCCAAGAAAGATCCACCATGCTAAAAAAAAAAATGACCATGTTTGTTTTCTGTAGTGCTTTCACACTGCTACTTATCGGGGACTGCAATCTCTTGCGTATCTCCACAAAAACAATCTCTGTGCATTCTGTACAATTTATGTATTTTGCGTTTTTGCCGTGGCCTAAGCTAACCCACCCACCCTTTCCACAGACAAAATACTTACCTGGACTCAGTTGCCGCAGACTGTGGTGTTTTTCTACATCCTGAGCTACAAATCAAGATGTCCCTGCTGCATATGTTCATTACATCAACTTTATAGCTCCTTCACCTTCATCCTCAGGACACAGGAGCCCCGCACAGCTGCGTTGTTTTCAAATTGGACAGATAGTAGGGGGAGAAGTTTCCCCGTATTATTTGTCAGAGGGAGGGGGTGCAGCAGCAGCTGCTATGGGAACATGTTACATGAGCCACCCCAAAGGTGAACATATCCTTTAAACAAGAAGCCTGGTTTTATACAAGTCTGTGCCTGGACACTGAAGGAGCAGGATCTGTCTGGTGTTAATCTTTATTCATACTGTACGAATATTTCCACATGCTGTTCGTAACACTGCAGAGTGCCAGACAAGGAACTCCAATGCAATACATAAAGTGTTACTAAACCCATGTCCCTGCACTCACTATATCCAGTCTTCTACAGAACATGGAAATACAATTATGTTAGTGTCTGGCCGAGCACATGTTAAAGCTTGTAGGAGGAGTTTTCATGCTTCTCCGACTGTCCTATGAGGCTGCATGACCCCTGACTCTCTGTCTGGATAGTGCTGATTGGCCATATGCTGATCACATACACCCTCCCAAACAAAAACCAACTCTCTAGCAATACACAGCAAACTGAGCATGTGCAGCGTGCCTCCTAGGGCTCTGTACTATCGGCAAATGGATTGGGGACTTTGGAAGAAGGGGAGGATCAAAGAAGACAGGATGAAACAGCCTTTTTTTACAAAATGCAGAGGATTGGCCCCTTTGGTTCCACAGTGAGCATAACAAGCATACTTTACTGCATATAGACTGATTTTACTGTTGTCAGTTTAGTTACACTTTAAATATAAATTCTGATTTTTGTGTGCACACTGCAAAGTTGAAGCACCTCCAATGATATAATATCCATTTCCTCACACACCAAACTCTGAGAACACAAGCACATCTTGTTGTTGGCAGCAGGCAGGTAGAGCTGGCAGGTCTAGCACAAAGATATTTTTTCTGAAGTACCCAGGCAAAAAAAAAAAAAAAAAAGCCAGTAGGTAATAAAACCAGCTGACAGCAAGGCAAAATTGGAATATTAGTTTTGGGTAGATTAACTTTATATATTAAACATCTAATAAATTAATAGAAATTCCATACTTTGAGTAATCGCCTGCGTAGATAACTGCTGAGCATGAATCGGATTCTTTCTATCTCCATGTGATGGAAGCTGATCTTGAGGTCTCCCTGTCGTGCTCGTTGCAAGTTTTGCTCCTAGAAAAGAAAAAAAAAAAAAAAAAAAAAAAAAAAGAAGTGCTTAGTTCTCAGACACACATCCATCAGCAAAAAAACAAAAACAAAAAAAAATTATCAAATTGGATTACCATATGGTTCAACTGCTCCATCACACAGTCCACTATCTCAGATTTACTCTCCAGGAGTTCAGGGGCAAACTTCTCATTGAGCCAAGCCTGGGGAGATAACAGGTCACATCAATAATATACTGTGTACTTACCAGAAATAAATGGAAACACTGATTAGATGTAGGCCATTTTTGGCTCTCCTGCTGTCCTATGATGCAGGACTAGAGCCCTGTCTGAATGAACAGTATAGTGTACAAGAATACATACACATTATTATACAAGATTTATATAGCACCAACAGTTTGCTCAGCGCTTTACAATATAAAGAGAGACAATACAGCAACAATACAGTTCAATACAAGAGGGTTAGGAGGGCTCTGATCCTGGGAGCTTACAATCTAAGAGGGAGGGTCTGGTGGTACAAAAAGGTAATAACTGTGGGAGATGGACTGGTAGGAGGAATAGATACATACATACAATTCCTGATCACTGTCCAGATCTGCCTAAACATCTATGTGAATGACATCTCTAATTATCATATAGGTATAGGTATCTGGGGAAAGAACAAAAAGAGGGCGCACAGGCCTAGTGCATTACCATAAAAAAAAGTTTAATAAAAAATAAAGTAGGTGTTGTACTCACAAACGACAATATAGTCAAGGCACATCATAAAAGAACAGCTGGATCAACACCGCGCTGAGTAACAGTCCGCAATAGGGAGTTTAGACATCCAAAAGGCTGACGCGTTTCGAGGACTCTGAGGAAGAGGCAAGTCCTCGAAACGTGTCAGCCTTTTGGATGTCTAAACTCCCTATTGCGGACTGTTACTCAGCGCAGTGTTGACCCAGCTGTTCTTTTATGATGTGCCTTGACTTTATTGTCGTTTGTGAGTACAACACCTACTTTATTTTTTATTAAACTTTTTTTATGGTAATGCACTAGGCCTGTGCGCCCTCTTTTTGTTCTTTCCCCATTCAGTATATTTGGATTCCCCCGGTCCATTTGAGGGCAGCAAGGTGTGCATGTTCCAGGACATTCTTAATGTGGTTGTAGCATCGAGTCCATCCCCAAGCGCAGGAGCATTTGTGTTTGCTGGTTCATAGGTGAACTCTGGCCTGGTCTTCAGGCTCCTCTCCTGTACTGGATTTACTTACTCCGATTTCACTGCACGCTGGGAGATTCTCCCAGTGTGCAGTAGAAACTGCAAAAATTCTGAAAGAGCCTGCCTCATTTCCTGCCTGAAGGAAGTCCAGTATCATTTAGCTCTTTTCTCCCCAGCCTTATTTTTCCTGGCCCACCCCCTTCAATGGATTCCAGTTCTGTCAGTCATGGAGGATCAGCATCACATGTGGGTGTTACTTAGGGCGGCCTGCACGCATATGCAATCTGCCTAAGAACACCTGAAGTTGGGCTTTAATGTTGGGCTTCAATATAGTGTTATTGAAAACAGGTTCTTCATGCCAACCTGCAGCCACTACAACCTTCTAAAATAGCAAAAAAATTAAAACAAGGCAAAACTACTAGTTGTGGTATAATTGTTGGTACAGCCCCTGTATGTTGGTTAAAAAGCAAAAAAAAAAAAGACCTCACCAGCCTCTCCACAAAGCAGCCAGTTATGCACAAATGTTAGCTCTACCCTACCACACAAAAAAAAATAAAGCATTTCAAGGGCAGCTATCACATATACTAATTACTGTCACATTTATAAGAAAAAGATCAATAATTGCGGACCAGCCATATCAGGAATGTACACAGTATAAGTGACAAATATATTTTCACCACACAAGTGGCTGAACTCCAGTTATATTATATTACAACAATAAACATCTCACCTTCTCCAGCATATTTTTTAAAAAAATTTTTTGCTGTTTCCTAATGAATTCCCTTCACAATCTGCCCCAGAGGTACAAGAGGAAGTGAGGGAAATTTGATTCTCAGATGTCATAAGAACAGATCTCCTTACTGAAAAATATTCCTCTTCTAGCGAGTGAGAATGGGAATTTCCCCATTGGTGAGAGAAACCGTAATAAAAACTTGCCAGAGGTTCCAATTCTCACCCTACTCCTTGAAAACCAAGATGCTGTGACTTCACATACACTTTATCAACATTAAGGAACATAATAAAATTGGAGGAACTGCCATCAGAATCCAGGGAAAAATCTACTATACAGAAATCCAACTAAATTTTCATTAAAGCAGTAGTCTCCAAACTGTGTCCCGGGGGCTGAATGTTGCTTGCCTTTATCTGGCCCTTGGGACACTATTCCTCCCACTGACATTACATGACAATGGGGCATAAATCTGTGCCCACTGACCCCTAAGATGGGGCAGTATTCCTCTCACAGACACAAAAGATGGGGCAGTAATCCTCTCACTGAGACCAAATTATGGGGAGTTATTCCTCTCACTAAGAAAGAAAGGGGCATAGTTACCAATGCCAGGACATTTTCTTCTCCCACTGGCCACAGTCCACCCCCTCTAAAGTCTGAAGGATAATAAACTGGCCCTTTGTTTGGAAAGATTTGGAGCCCGGCATTAAAGGGTATTATTTATTTATTTCAGGTACTTATATAGTGCCATTAATTTATGCAGCGCTTTACATACATATTGTACATTCACATCAGTCCCTAACCCTCAGGGGGTGTACAATCTAAGGTCCCTAACTTACATCCATACACATACTAGGGCCAATTTAGACAGGAGCCAATTAACCTACCAGCATGTCTTTGGGTAAGTGGACTTATTCTTTTTTTACAGTTTGCCCTAACCTAACCCACTCTCCTACTACACAGATGCATACTTGGTGATATGATGGCTGCTGCCGCCACCACCTGAATTTGTTCCATACCTGTGTGCTACAGCCCCTTTTCTCCACCATGAATGACTGGTTGGTGGGGAAATATCCTGTCATGAAAGAAATATGGGGGAACTGCTATTTCTAACCTTCTTCCGAGAAATATTTATGTTGGTTTAAAAGAAAAAACAAACAATTTGGGTTCGGCCATATCAGTAATGTACACAGTATGAGTGACAAGTACACCTGTCCTAGACAGGTGGCTGGGCTTCACAGTAAAATGTTATATTTTATTACTACAATAAACTTCTCACCTCCTCCAGCTTGTTAATGAGTTCTGCAGGCGTCAGGACCTCTTCACTTCCAGCATCAGAGGCCTCATCAGACAGGGCCAGATCCTCTTCCATCATGGACAGTGAAGACTGTAAAAGAAACATATTGATAAAGTGATCTAACAATCTACACAGTTGTCTGAAAATAGGATCAGCATGTTATAAACAACTAATATAAATTCCATTAATAATATACATCCATATCTTTCAGGAGTCCCAGAAGTATACCAATCTGACTCTACCCCTCAAAAACTAACGCAACGAGGAATCTGTCTGGTTGCTATGACAGCAAGAAAAGTTCTTATATACCAGTAAATGAACAAAGTATTCAGCGCTCATATAATGAAGAATTGGATAGTAATGAATGCATATACATTAATGGATAAGTAAAGAAATAAAACTGTACAATAGGTGTAATGACAATTGTATTTCAAACAGTCAATACATCCATAGGATGAGCAGAATGAGGAAGAAGTAGACCAAGGGGACAAGGCACATGCGATGGGACCGGCAGCTCCTCGCCAAGGATATGGGGGATCCCTCGAAGATCAGCAAAAGAGAAAAGGAGGGCACCAGGTCAGTGTAGGTTAAAACATAGAAACTTTATTATCAGTTGACTTACAGTATCTCACAGAAGTGAGTACACCCCTCACATTTTTGTAAATATTTTATTCTATCTTTTCATGTGACAACACTGAAGAAATGGCACTTTGCTACAATGTAAGGTAGTGTAGTGAGTGTACAGCTTGTATAACAGTGTAAATTGGCTGTCCCCTCAAAATAACTCAACACACAGCCATTAATGTCTAAACTGCTGGCAACAAAAGTGAGTACACCCCTAAGTGAAAATGGCCCAATTGGGCCCAAAATGTCAATATTTTGTGTGTCCACCATTATTTTCCAGCACTGCCTTAACCCTCTCGGGTACGGAGTTCACCAAAACTTCACAGGTTGCCACTGGAGTCCTCTTCCACTCCTCCATGACGACATCACAGAGCTGGTGTATGTTAGAGACTTTGCGCTCCTCCACCTTCCATTTGAGGATGCCCCACAGATACTCAACAGGGTTTGGGTCTGGAGACATGCTTGGCCAGTCCATCACCTTTACCCTCGGCTTCTTTAACAAGGCAGTGGTCGTCTTGGAGGTGTGTTTGGGGTCGTTATGTTGGAATACTGCCCTGCGGCCCCAGTCTCCGAAGGGAGGGGATCATGCTCTGCTTCAGTATGTCACAGTACATGTTGGCATTCATGGTTCCCTCAATGAACTGTAGCTCCCCAGTGCCAGCAACACTCATGCAGCCCAAGACACTTCCACCACTATGCTTGACTGTAGGCAAGACACATTTGTCTTTGTGCTCCTCATCTGGTTGCCACCACACACGCTTGACACCATCTGAACCAAATCAGTTTATCTTGGTCTCATCAGACCACAGGACATGGTTCCAGTAATCCATGTCCTTAGTCTGCATGTCTTCAGCAAACTGTTGGCGGGCCTTCTTGGGCATCAGTTTAGAAGAGGCTTCCTTCTGGGCCAACAGCCATGCAGACCAATTTGATGCAGTGTGCGGCGTATAGTCTGAATACTGACAGGCTGACCCCCCCACCCCTTCAACCTCTGCAGCAATGATGGCAGCACTCGTACGGCTTTTCTCCAAAGACAACCTCTGGATATGACGCTGAGCACATGCACTCAACTTCTTTGGTTGACCATGGCGAGGCCTGTTCTGAGTGGAACCTCTCCAGTTAAACTGCTGTGTGGTCTTGGCCACCATGCTGCAGCTCAGTTTCAGGGTCTTGGCAATCTTCTTATAGCCTGGGCCATCTTTATGTAGAGCAACAATTCTTTTTTTTCATATCCTCAGAGAGTTCTTTGCCATGAGGTGCCATATTGAACTTCCAGTGACCAGTATAAGGGGGTGAGAGCGATAACACCAAATTTAACACACCTGAGACCTTGTAACACTAACGAGTCACATGACACTGGGGAGGGAAATTGGCTAATTGGGCCCAATTTAGACATTTTCACTTAGGGGTGTACTCACTTTTGTTGCCAGCGGTTTAAACATTAATGGCTGTACGATGAGTTATTTTGAGGGTACAGCCAATTTACACTATTATACAAGCTGTACACTCACTACTTTACATTGTAGCAAAGTGTCATTTCTTCAGTGTTGTCACATGAAGATAGAATAAAATATTTACAAAAATATGAGGGGGGTGTACTTACTGCTGCGAGATACTGTGCATCCAAGTCTCCTTCGGTCAGCATGCAGGACATGAAGATAAGGCAGACCAGCAGGACCACAGTTCTCTCAGATGGCAGAGCCGATGTTAGCTGTATAGGCTTGGAGGGAGCCATTTGTGGACTCAACGGCGTTCATACAAAAGTTCCCACCGAGCAGAGGGGAGATGTGACAGGTGCCGTGACAGTTGCCATGAATGGCGGGTGGGTGGGCTGCAACGCGTTTCATAAGCTACACCTCCTTTGTCAAGCAGGCCCACCCATAAAGCAGAAGGGTATATAAGAGCTGTCAGATCCCGGAAAACCAATGGGAAGAGGGAGGAGTGAGAGAGCGGAGAAGACTGCAGTGAGAGAGCGGAGAAGACTGCAGTGAGAGTGTGGTAGATAAATACACAGATGATACAGACATTATTGTGTAATACACAGGGATTAGACAAAAGCTGGCCACACACAGTAAAAACAATTGTACACTTTGGCTGTTCCATACTTTCTAAAGGGCTCCTTTACACTAGGTACGCTGCAATTGTTCTTTGATCACATTTCACATGTGTAGTGGTGTGCAAAATGCAGCATGCCTGCATCCTAAACGCCTTTCCTCCTGGCAGCAGCATTTTGGCAGTAAAACCGCTTGCCATGTGTCAAGCGCTTAGGAGTCAATTTCATTGGCCAGAATAATAATAATTTATCCTGGCCACTGAAATAAATTAACTCTCAAGCGCTTGATGAGCCTAGCGTTAATGGAGGTTTAGATACATTAACACATGTCAAGCCACATTTAAAGGCCTCATGCGTGTTTTCTGCCAAAACACTGCTGCTCCTGAATGCACTGGCAGCGTTTTTCTTTCTGCCTCTAAAAGCCTGCATGAAGACATAGCTTGAAATTGAGGGGCATTTAGAAAAAGATCAAAAAAAACAACCCAAAACGCCATATGCCCCTAAGAGCAGTGTTTTTACCACTCAGTATGCATGTAACTGTATGTCAACGTACCACAGGGAGTCACAAAATGCTGCGGCGAATAGAGCTGAATAAAATGTAATTTTGTACATTTCAATAAAGTTAAAGTAAAGTGACTTCTCCCTCCACAGAAAGGAGGTGGATTGAGGAATCCCCCCCCCCCCAATCCCCAACGGAACATTGTTTTCTGGCAGTGGCACCTACTGATTGACAAATGTTTTCCAGCATGTCCCTTTGACAAAAGTTGATCAAACAAGCAGGGAAAGCCACACTCTTATCGATATGCAGCTGATCCCTGCTGAACCAGCCAAATTTCAATCTGCCTATGGCCAGTTTTTAGCATCTGCAGGTGCCATAGTGCTGCACGTTATCAGTTATGACACCAGCCATTTGACGGCTTGACTTCTGTCACGATCACCAGTACCTGCGACAGTTATCATTAACAATATTCCTAGAATGTAACGGTTTTAGGAGTACAGACTTATTTGTGTGGTACCTGCTCAGTCTTCTACAATCTTCACCTAGCCAGGATGATGTCCTTTGCCCCGCCCCCTCCCAGGACACATCACACTTCCCAGGAGGTTGCAGGACCATTCATAAAGTGCTGTGCCAGTTAATGCATTCATAGCGGGGAGCTGGCTGGTTACAGGAAGTTACAGCTGGCTCCTGTTTCTTAGATGCCGATACCTGGGACCCACGGGAGGTAAGAAGAACCAGCTGTGGGAAGACAATGCTGGACCCCAGGCACTAATTCTTAACCACTTGACCTCCAGAAAGTTTTACCCCCTTCATGACCAGAACAGTTTTTTCACACAAATAAAGCTGTCTTTTGGGGGTATTTGATAACCACTGGATTTTTATTTTATGCTGCAGTGGATATAAAGTCTACACACCCTGTTAAAATGAAAGGTTTCTGTGATGTACAAAAATGAGACAAAGAAATTATATCAGAACTTTTTCCACCTTTAATGTGACCTATAAACTGTACAACTCAATTGAAAAACAAACTGAAATCTTTCGGGGGGGGGGGGGGGGGGAGTAAACATAAAAACTAAAATAATGTGGTTGCATAAGTGTGCACACCCTCTTATAACTGGGGATGTAGCTGTGTTCAGAATTATGAAATCACATTAAAAAAAAATGACAGTAAACAAGAGTTCAGTACACACATGCCATTATTTTAAGTGCCTCTGATTAACCCCAAATAAAGTTCAGCTGTTCTAGTAGGTCTTTCCTGACATTTGCTTAGTCACATCCTAAAGCAAAAGCCATGATCCCCAGAGAGCTTCCAAAGCATCAGAGGGATCTCATTGTTAAAAGGTATCAGTCAGGAGAAGGGTACAAAATGGCTTCCAAGGCATTAGATATACCACAGAACACAGTGAAGATAGTCATAAAGTGGAGAAAATATGGCACAACCATGATATAACCAAGAACTGTACATCCCTCCAAAATTGATGAAAAAAGACGAGAAGAAAACTGGTCTGGGAGGCTGCCAAGAGGCCTAAAGCAACATTAAAGGAGCTGCAGGAATATCTGGCAAGTACTGGCTGTATAGTACCTGTGACAACAATCTCCCGTATTCTTCATGTATGGGATATGGGGTAGAGTGGCAAGACAGAAGCCTTTTTTCTTTTTTTATGAAGAAAAACATCCAAGCCCAGCTAAATTTTGCAAAAACACATCTGAAGTCTCCCAAAAGCATGTGGGAAAATGTGTTTTGGTCTGATGAAACCAAGGTTGACCTTTTTGGCCATAATTCCAAAAGATATGTTTGGCACAAAAACAACAGTATACATCACCAAAAGAACACCATACCCACAGTGAAGCATGGTGGTGGCAGCATCATGCTTTGGGGCTGTTTTTCCTCAGCTGGAACTGGGGCCTTAGTCAGGGTAG